GTATAGGTGAATTGGGTGTGTGTATGGTATAGTGTGTATGGATGTTTCCCAGTGATGGGTTGCAGCTGGAATGGCATCCCCTGCGTAAAACATATGCTGGATAAGTTGGTGGTTCATTCTACTGTGTCGACCCCTGATTAATAAAGAGATTATGATGAGTTCAGACTGCATGATCAAAGTAGTCATTCACAGATGTTTTCACACTGCATGACTATCTGGGCTAGCGTTTTGTTGCTGCTTTGTTTACACTGCAAGATGGATTGGCGACAGGGGCTTTCACATTGCATGACTTTACAATTTGAAGAATCGCTGACAACTTCATCCAAACTACGTCCAACAGCCAAAAATACGTATATCTTTTGTTATTAACTACATAACGAGAAAGGAGCCTTTAATGGGGAGAAAATGTACATATTTGCTCACCTGAAGGGAATTAGCCATTTCTCCTCAACTTTCCTTTTTAACTTTCTGTATGAAACATCAAACAGACACGGGTGCTCCTGTCAAACCTCAACTCCACTTTCCTGGGTCTAAATAAACCGAAAATGAGCGATTTTAACTTCTCCCTCAACCTCCCGCCGGCCTATAGGTAAACACACACACACACACACACACACACACACACACACACACACACACAAGTGGATGCTGCTCTCTCATTGGCTGTAAGCGATCGCCTATGTTATTTTAAGTTAAAACTCATTTCACATGGCATGATTTAAATCGCAGACAGCTCCAGATATTTAGCATGCCAAATATCTCACAGGCACTGGCGACTCATCAGCTATTCTCTCAGGCTTTGGTAGTTCACACTGTGTGATTGTCACTCATGTGCACAAGCACTGATTTGCCTGTGATTTCAGACATTTGTCGGCAATTTCTCAAAACCTGTCGGCGAATCAAAATTGGGGCTAAAATCATGCAGTCTGAACTCTGAACTGTGTGGAGTTTGCAGGTTTTCCCCATGTTTGTGCGGGTTTCCTCCGTGTGCTCCAGTTTCCCCCACTAGTCCAAAGATATGCTATAGGTGAACTTAATATACTAAATTGGTTGTAGTGAATGTGTGTAAATGATTGTGTTTGGGGGTTTCCCAGTGATAGGTTGCAGCTGGTAGGGCATCAGCTGCGTAAAACATATGCTGGAAAAGTTGGTGGTTCGTTCCGCTCTGGAGACCCATGATTAATAAAGAGACTAAGAAGAAAAAAAATAGCATTACAGACAACAATTCCACATGCAAGTTGTAATCAGTGACAAGCTACATTTTGTAATCTACCCGGTTTGATTTGTAAAAAATATTAAAATGTACTGGATTAAAGCAATTTAGATTTTTCTTGATTATCCATGTACAGTATCAGTTTTAGATGAATGTGACAATGTAAACATCTCAGAATAATAATTGTTTTGTATTGCATCTTAAATGATCAACTTATTTAGCTATACTGTATTGGGCTTATTGATTTACTTAAACTATTAGAACTTCATTTTACATTTTGGCCATAGAAATAACGTCTGCACAAAATATAGTTGCTCAGTTTGGACCTTTGAATATATTGTAGGTGGGTTTTTTTCATTGAGTATGAGCACATCATTTCACAGCCCACTAAAGCTTGGTGTATCAAATATGTACAAAAATATTCTCATATAGCAGTTTTTAAAGGGTTATAAAGGCAAAGAAGGTCAATATACACTTAATAAAGGTCAATGCAAAAAAAATCTCAATTAAAAGGGCAGAGAACATTAACATTATTCGCTCACTACAGCTAACAGAACTACAAATTGAGAGAGAGAGAGAGAGAGAGAGAGAGAGAGAGAGAGGGAGCAAATGAGAAAAAGCCAGAGAGATAAATTGCTGAGCACATTCAGTACTAGTGGCACCCCCGCTGGAGGCATAATAAGCAGAAATTATATTGATGAAATTTCCTGACATTATGACAATACAAATGAGCTTGTTGCCTCAGAATCTGTGCACACTAAATAAATCATTTAAGTAAATAGGTGGTTTTGCAATTAGGCACAAAGCCCACCCCTATTTAGCAACAAAACAGAAAACTGATGTTATTTGATATAAATAAGCAATTTAGGCATCAGTGTTTCTCGTCTGCCAGTGCCACAGGCTAAACAAGATTAGCATGCTAATCATTTGAATGATAATGTGGTGATGCCCTCAGCTGTTGGAATAAATTGGGAGACATTGCTCATATAAGAGCATTCTTATCACCCTGGAAAACATGAGCAATTGTGTTTTAGTTTGCCATTTGTAAAAGAAAAAAAAAAAAAAAAGAATGGAACTGCCATGCAATAATGTTTGAATAAGTTTGCTCATTCTAACCTTGGTACTCTATGTAAAGTATCAAAGTATCAGAGTCTCAAAATCTTTTTGACCATAATATTTGTTAAGTTACCTTATTCGGACTTGACACCATATTTTAAAATAATTAGTTATAGAAGTTCAGTCCATTTAATAGGTTGTGTTTATTTCAATTTTTTAAAAATAAATGTAAATATTAAAAAAAAAGTTTTTAACAAAATAAGGTATAACAAAGACGGGTACTTTATACAGTATTTATAGTGCTCACAAAATAAGGAACGGTTCATTCTATTTTTTGAGCAACAATAGTTTATTTTCTAATTATTCATTCATTCATTTTCTTTTCAACTTAATCCCTTTATTTATTGACGTTGCCACAGCGGACTGAACCGCCAACTTATCCAGCATATGTTTTACGCAGTGGATGCCTTCCAGTCACAACTCAACACTGGGAAACAAACATACACATTCTTTCACACACATACACTACAGCCAATTGAGCTTATTCAATTCACTTATGCCACGTCTTTGGACTGGAGCACCCAAAGGAAACACATACGGACATGTGGTGAACATGCAAACTCCATACAGAAATGCCCCAGAATGCTAACCACTGTGCCACCGTTTTTACTTTAAACAATCTGTATTATAATAATAATAATAATAATAATAATAATGTATTAATAAAATAAATTACATAAATATACATCACATTATTATTAATATTATTATTGTTATTAAAATTTTTGTTGTTGTTATTATTATTATTATTAGTATTAGTAGTAGTAGTAGTAGTAGTTGTTGTATTTTACTTTAAATATTCTGTATTATTTTAATGATAATAAGAATGATAACAAAAAAACAACAACAACAATGATAATAATAATATTAATAATAATAATAATATATTAATAAAGATACATTAAATTAATATACATATTATTATTATTATTATTATTATTACATTTACATTTACATTTAGTCATTTAGCAGACGCTTTTATCCAAAGCGACTTACAAATGAGGACAAGGAAGCAACTTACACAACTATAAGAGCAACAATGAATAAGTGCTATAGGTAAGTTTCACGTCTGTAAAGTCTAAGAAGGGAAGTATTAGTAGTATTAGTATTTTTTATTTTTTTTGGGGGTACAGTTGGTGTGATATTCAGAGAGGCAATTGCAGATTAGGAAGTGAAGTGGAGACTAAATAGTTGAGTTTTTAGTCGTTTCTTGAAAATAGCGAGTGACTCTGCTGTTCTGATGCAGTTAGGGAGTTCATTCCACCAACTGGGCAAATTGAGCGTGAGCGTGAGCGAAAGTGATTTCTTCCCTCTTTGGGATGGAACCACGAGGCGACGTTCATTCACAGAACGCAAGTTTCTGGAGGGCACATAGATCTGCAGAAGTGAGAGCAGATAAGAAGGAGCAATGCCAGAAGTCATTTGTAAGCAAACATCAGAGCTTTGAATTTGATGCGAGCAGCAACTGGCAGCCAGTGCAAACGGACTAGCAGCGGAGTGATATGTGCTCGTTTAGGTTCATTGAAGACCACTCGTGCTGCTGCGTTCTGGAGCAGTTGAAGAGGCTTGACAGAGTTAGCTAGAAGCCCAGCTAGTAGAGAGTTGCAGTAATCCAGTTTGGAGAGAACAAGAGCTTGAACAAGGAGTTGAGCTGCATGTTCAGATAAGAAGGGTCGGATCTTTCTGATGTTATAGAGTGCGAATCTGCATGATCGAGCAGTTCTAGAAATGTGGTCAGAGAAGTTTAGTTGGTCATCAATCGTTACTCCAAGGCTTTTCACCATTTTGGATGCAGTAATGGTTGCCCCGTCCATCTGGATTGAAAAGTTATGGTGTAGAGTCGGGTTGGCAGAAACTACAAGCATTTCCGTTTTTGCGAGGTTCAGCTGAAGATGATGATCTTTCATCCAGTGTGAAATATCCAACAGGCAGATTATTATTATTATTATTATTATTATTATTATTATTATTATTATTATTATTAGTAGTAGTAGTAGTAGTAGTAGTAGTAGTAGTTGTTGTTGATATTATTAGCAGTAGTAGTTGTTGTATTTTACTTTAAACATTTTGTATAATATTAATAATAATCATTTATTAATAAAGATATATTACAGTAAAATACATTACATTATTATTAATATTATTATTATTATTATTATTATTATTATTATTATTGTTGTTGTTGTTGTTAGCAGCAGCAGCAGCAGCAGTAGTAGCAGTAGTAGTAGAATTTGTTGTTGTAATTTATTTAAGCATTGTTTTAATAATAATAATAATAATAATAATAATAATAACAATAATAATAATTTAGTAATAACGATACATTATAGTAAAATACACAATAATAATAATAATAATAATAATAATAATTATTATTATTATTATTATTATTATTATTATTATTATTATTATTATTATAATTACTACTACTACTACTGAACAAATTGGTTATTTAAATACACGGTCATGTAAATTATACAAATTTGTTATTCACTACACAGAGCAGCCTCTGCTATTTTGTAAAAGGGCAGAGTCCCATTTCTTTCTCTAATTAAATTGACCAATCGGTGTTTCTGTTACCACCGAAGTGGCTTCGTCGACCCAATAATGAGGCTCTATGTTCAAAATGCGGAAATGCAGAAGACAACGCAGTACCGTCATGCTTTCACTTGTTTTGTTCGCTAAAATAATAGTTTTTCCAATGTCGTCCGTCGCGTCTTACGATATGTTGCTTTAAGCTTTTATATTGTGGCAGAGAATTATGCGGTCCGCCAGAATCGCGATTTTGTTGACTGACTAACGTTAGCTTTAATATGTACAGTGGACTTCTGCCGTCGGGTCTCACCGAGGCTGATCTGAGCTCTGATGATGCTGATGAAGGAGAAACAGCAGAAAAGACAGACGAACACCAGACGCATCAGTCAGGCACCGAGCCTCATTCAGCTTCTGCACAGGTTGAATGTAATAACCGGAAATCTGACGTTCATGATGATGCATTAGAGGAAGATTGTCTTCCTGGAGTCTCCTTGGATATGTGGAAAGTACGTTAACTGACTAACGTTAGTATACCTAGTATAATCACAAAAAAAGCAAGTCACCACTTATATTTTATTATCATTATTTATGCCAACAACACTGCTGACAGCTGTGTGTGCGTTTGTGTTTATCACCACAGAAGTTCAAAGATCTCCAAAGAGCAAAACATGACCAGAGTTTGAGGCCACCACAAATCAAACGGCAAAGGAAAAGGCGCCATAAGAAAGGTGATTATAGCAGGGTTTCTTCTTACTACCCGCTAATGTTCTTCTTTTATACTATTTTTATTTCACTGTTGTTTCATTCAGTCCTTTCATATTCTTGTCGGCTTAGTCCTTTTATTAAACTGGGGTCGCCACAGCGGAATGAACCGCCAACTTATCCAGAATATGTTTTACGCAGGGATGCCCTTCCAGCTACAACCCATCACTGGGAAATACCTACATACTCATTCTCACAATCACTATGGACAATTTTAGCATACCCAATTAACCTATACCACATGTCTTTGGACATGTGGGGGAAACCAGAGCACCTGCACTCTCAGAAGGTACGCTGTACGCGAGCTGTCACTGGGATGGTACCTTTTCAAAAGGTACACATTTGTATCTAAAAGGTCTTAATACATCAAGGGCACATATCTGTACCTAAAAAGTACAAAAGTGTTCCTCTTAAAATTTTTAGGTACTAATATATAGTTTTGAGGTACCATTTTGGATACAAATATGTACCTTTTGAAAAGGTACCATCCTAGTGACAGCTCGCGTACCTTTATTTCTGAGAGTGGGAAGGAAACCCACGCGATCACGGGGAAAACATGCAATCTCCACACAGAAATGCAAACTGACCCAGCCGAGGCTCGAACCACCCACCTTCTAGCTGTGAGGCTATCGTGCTGCCCACTGCACCACCCCGTCACCTCACTGTTGTTCATAGTTTTCAGGTTTTGAAACATTTACATTCAAGAATAACGTCTTAATAGAAGTGTGTTAATTTGTATTGCACATACACTCAGTGATGCCAAATATGTACCATGATTGTCCAGATTAAGGGTAAAGTTGTTTTTTTTATTCGCACATTCGTTCAATGTCAACTAGTGACATGCTCTTTATATTGTTTATTGTGTACTTTGAATATTCAAACTGAAATCACGTGTAAATATGACTTCGAAACAACATGAGTGCTATTTAATTGACTTTAAACAATGTTGTTCTTTGATAGCTGTTTGTTGCTAATATAATTGCACTATTAGAAATTTGCAAACAATACTACTTTTCTGAAATTATATTATCAAGGAGAAAGTCTGAATGAAAATAAAACCCCTGTTACCTCAATGCTGTTTAGTAGTCTTTATAACAGTACTAACATCGTCAACATACAGTGCTATTACTTTTGAAGAACAACATGATTTTACTCTGTCAGATATAAAGTAATGCCTATGCATGTGTTCTTAGAAACATTGTTTTGATATATTTTGTTTTCATGTCTCTAACAGGTGGGACAGAGAATTGCAGCTCTGAACAGAAAAGGTATGATGTTCAATGAGGATTTCCAAACCAGAGCAGTCATTTAGATAATCACCAATTATTCAGAAGTTCATATGAGAGAGAGAATGAAATGTATTACTCTAAACAGCCTTTAGAAAATGGTATCCATTATTTCAGCACTGATGTGAATTGACTGAAATCTTCATATTGATGTCAGGACATTCAATTCTCTGTACATTTTAGCCTATACAAAATGTACAGGCTAAAGATGATCTCAGGTGTTTTCAGTCTTTAGATCCTATGAACCCTCAAACAGAATCATACTTGTTTAAAGATCCTTGTTCTAAAATGTAAAGTATCTTACAAAAAGCTTCAGTTTACTATGAATATACATGTTTTTATTGATTTACACATTTATTGTTATTTTATTTTATCTTTTCATTTTATTTTATTTCATTTATTTCATTAAATCTAATTTGTTTGTTTATTGTAATTACATTTTACATTATTTATTTATTAGATTTGTTTTATAATTATACATTTATCACAATTATGACTTTATTTAAATACATTTTTTTATTCCTATTGATTATTCCTATTATTTAAGTTTTATTTGAAAATTTTTTTAAAGCTTTTTTTTTCTCCAAACATTTCCATTGATAAACTTGCACTTAGCTCCGTGGGGTTTTCTTGGGGACCCTTGTTTTAAAAATAGCATTATATATTTTATTCTAATGATTTGTTTAAAGTGACTTTTTTATTTAAAGGATCTTTGAATCATTATTTGATGATTTGATTTGTTCTGAAATGTAATTATATACTTTTTCTAGTTTGATCTGTTGCACAATCTGTTGTTTGTTTTGTTGAACTGTTGTATAAAATAAAGATCACATTAGAGATCACATGCACATGCAGACTTTTTAGTTGTTGTTTGTGTATGTGTGTGGTATAACATACGTTTGTTTTATAGTCTGAGTCTGATAGGCTGTAATTTCCAACACAGTGAGTGACATTTACAATATCACCATAGAATATTATCATATTATCATCAGAACAGCTTGAAATATCTAGTAGTATGGGATCTTTATTTCCTTCCTTTTGCAAAAAAGTTCATTAAAGTTGCTTACACAACGTACAAACTTTTTAATTTATCTTGAACTGCTGTAACTTTTTATTTTTTAAAAATTGTTATATAAAATAAACATCACATTAGGGATCGCATTCACATGCACATGCGTTCAATGTAACTTAAATATTCATTCATTTATTCATTCATTTTCTTTTCAGCTTAGTCCTTTTATTAATCAGGGTTCCCCACAGCGGTATGAGCTGCCAACTTATCCAGCATATGTTTTACGCAGTGCATGCCCTTCCATCTGCAACCCATCACTGAGAAACACCCATAGACTCTTGCATTCACATCCACACATACACTACGGCCAATTTAGCTTATTCAGTTCACCTGTAGTGCAGGTTTTTGGACTTTGGGGAAAACCCATGCAAACATGAGGACAACATGCAAACTCCACACAGAAATGCCAACTGACTTAACCGGGACTCGAATCAGTGGCCTTCTTGCTGTGAGGCGACATCGCTAATCACTGTGTCACTGTGTCGCTATACCTTAAATATGTCTATATATAAAATATGAGTGAGTGAGAGGCAATCTCAGCAATGTCAAATCACATATTATTTGAACAACATTTTCAATATTACCACAGACACTCAAATATTGCACACTCCTAGTTTGTAATTGCTTGAGATTTGGCACCGGTATATGATTCTGACGGTATGAAAATATCACGGTATGATGATGTTGTGATTACTGCTCTAAAATATATCATTTTAAAATGTCTGGGTAAAAAACAAAAACTTTTGTACCCCTTTAAACACAATGTATTTTATTTTGAGAAATTTTTAAAATATTTTGGAGCAATAAACATATCAGGCTCAATAATTCAAATGAATTATTGACTTTTGCTGTGTTTCAAACAGCACTTTTGGATAGCTTTTCTGCTGGAGATACTGTTATGCTATAAAGAACAACAAATCTTACACATACCTTAGGAATGGTATAGCAAATAATTTAGACAGTTCTAAAATTTTGATTTTCCAAACCGCTGTATACCTTGAAAACGGTTATTGTCCCATGCCTAATTAAAATATTTGGTATGGTGTGATCTGTAGTTTTGTCTTACTGTATGATATTTTTCTTATATACAAAGTTCACAACTATATGTTGCTAAGTGTTTTAGTTTTTAATTTAAATGTTGGATTGTAAAAATCCTGTATTCCAGAACAAATAGAACATGTTGAGTACCAGAGTCTTCATATTCGACACCTCCTGCCTACCTATTTCACTAAGCACACATATACTGTATATACTGTTTCCATAATCCACCTGTTCTAGCAAAAAGGATGTGTACAGAAATAATTGAATCTCCCAAAGTATACATGGTATGCGTTCGAGTGAATGGTAATAATAAACAGAAGGACTTGTCATTCTGTGTCTTTGCCCAGGGAGCCTGAAGAGAAACGGAAGGAGCACTGGAAGGAGCTCACGCAGTATTTTGGCATCAGTGATAGATTCAAGCCGCCTTCATGTAGCAAACCTCCTCTCATGGTAACAATGATTTCCACCATCTTCCTCTGCCACTCTGTGGGTGTCCTAATTCCACTCAGATGCTGAACGTGTTTTTATCCCACTGCCTCTCTCTCTTTTTCTTTCTGTGTTCTCTGACTACTGTATGTGTAACTCGTAATTGTTTCCTCTATCAAATGTGGAAGACAGAGTGAGGAGGCGTCTTTTCTTCTGCGTGACACTGAGCATAACAGAATAGATCATATTATATTTAATGATGAGATTACCTTAATCTTGACATGAGGATGTAGCTGCTCTGTCTGTTCTGGTTGGTGTTTAATATCTCTTATGTGAGGTGGATTTTTCTGCATTGAAAGCCACAGCACAATGGACTCCAGAGCTCTCTGTAATGCTGTAATTCAGTGATAGGGAGGGGAATGTTCGCAAATCAAATACACCGGACAGCTTGTGTAACAAATATGACATTAGGATTTTTTATCCCACTCAGAAGCTGAAAAGGCATGGTGTAAACAGTGTAATGAACAGCATATGCCTTTATTTGTCTTTTGTAAATGGACCTGCTTTTTATGATTTAATGTTAACTTCTTTTTAGATTCACATTTTGATGGAGATGTTGCCGTACAATTATGGTTATGTGGACTTGTTTGTTTAATAGTGCTGGCTTTGTTATAAATGAATACATCATTTAATGTTAGTTTTTGAATATTCAACTTTTTCTAACTGTGCTTAAGCATTTATCCTATTAGATGTAAAAATAGATGTAAAAATGTGATCATTTTTAACAAGGTTAACTTATGTTTAATGACCACTTAAATTTATGAATTATAGTTAAGTAAAACATCAATTTTGTTTAATTTTTTGAAATGCCACTGACATTTCTTTCTATTCCTTCTATTAAGTGCCATGCTTTCAGTAGGGCTGGGCGATTTGGCCTAAAATCAAAATCTTGATTAATTGAACATTTTAACTCGATTACGATTATTGAATGATTAGTTTATTTATTTTGCCTTCCCAGTTCACTGATAAGTTTTGTACAGAAAATATGCTCTCATAGTAAAAGTGAGTTTTTTGAATGAAAGTTGCATTACTTGATTTTAAAATAATTGAAGGAAACGCACACTATCATACACCCGGTGCAATAAGGTGTAAGACCTGTGCAACCCTAATTTTCCCATTTTCCACAACGTTGTTTAAATAGCAAATCCATTTGCGCCACTCTGTGGATTTATGGGTGTTCAGGGGTCCGTTCTTCGTACGTGGATTACTCAGTTAGCTGGACTTGGATATTGAAGATTTGACACGATCCAGGATTGTTTCGTTCTTCAAAGCTGATCCGAGAGTTGTTGTCATAGCAACAGTTCTGCTAGGTCAAACCTGATCGGCAGGTTCAATTCATATAAACAGGATTAGATCGGCTTAGTTCAAGCAAAGATAATACAGAAAGTATGTTCCGAATTCTGATATTTTCTTACAGTAGTAGTTATATACACTTGGGAAAATGGTACATATTTTTTTACTATATATATAAAGTTATAGTCATTAATAAAATAAATAAAGTTATACATATTAATAAAACTTCTGCAATCTGCACCCTCAAAATGAAAGTACAAAGACTGCCACCTGGTGGTGCAAAGAGAAAACTTATTGATATGAACTTTTTAGATCGCTTTAGTACAAATTGTGTATAATAGAAATGCACAATATGTGACTTTTTTTTTAAAAGCAATAATACATTTATGCAGTCATAAACATGTTTTGATAGGTAATATGCCAGAGATTTGATGCTTCACAAAAGTTGCAGACGCCATTACCAATATGAAAATGCTTTTGTAAACAACCAGTTATTCTTTACACCGATTAAAAAACTGTACTATAATAAAGAAAATCTTTTCTATATGTAGATCTAAATACATTGATTTGCATTGAAATACATGATGAATACTTTTGACACATGAAAGTGTAAAGCCTGCAGCTCACAACAAATGTGGAAGGTTATTGCGTGTCATATTTAACAAACCGTTTACTGCTAATTTGCTAATTTTGCTCACATGGATAATTGAATATTAATCAGATGATGTCATTACGCTGCTGTGCCGTCAGCCAATCGTTGCATTGCTGATCATGATTTTGAGGATCGATAGATCTGTCCTTCACAACACATGCAGCGATCTCAGATCAGTATATCCAGACATTCTAATCTGATTCGCGAACTTGTTTAAAGAACCAAATTAGTGACAGATCAGTTATCAAGATTTAAAGATCCAGGATCTGCCAAATAATCTTAGATCATTTAAGCGAGGTACGAAGAACAGATCCCAGGTCTAGAAGGGAGGTGTGTTAAGGGGCATTGTTGGCATTGCTATTTTGAGGAACTAAAATAGATTGTGCAATAAACCAGCTGAAAGTAGGTTTAAAGTCCATCGCAGAGCGATTTAGTTGTGCGCCTCACTTACATATTGCTTAATGCATACAGTATGTACAGCAATACATAAATACATTTACAAATGAAAAAGAAATAAAGGATTCGAATAATACAAAAATGATTATTTTTTTCAAAAATCACTGTCTTCATGCCTTCTTCATCTCGGGGGGGTTTTTCAGTTTATTCACAACAACTTGCTTTTGTGTCATGTTGTTATTATTATTATTATTATTATTATTATTATTATTATTATTATTATTATTATTATTATTAGCAGTATTACTTATTATATGCATATTTATACTAATATTAAAAACAAGCTTAGATTTGTCCACCTGTCAGGTTTTGGACCAAATGGGGCATAGGACGTGTGTTTATAAGTTTTATAAGTTTTATAAGTTTATAAATTTATTCATTTGTTGGAAATAAGAACTGAATTTAGAAATAGTTTTGAAGTAATGTAATTAATGTAATTAAAAAAAAACATAGCTGAAAAAAAATAGTTGATAGTTTTTAGACATGTTTATATGCATTTTTAAACAACACAATACATGTTTTAAAGATGTACTTTAATAAGATATTGTTAAGAAAAAAACAATAATAAATAATTCCAGGAATTCTAGGGATTTTTCAGTTGAGGGTAATTTGTCCCACAGTTGTATATACTGTATTATAGACCTTATTTCTTTGCATTAAATGTTTACTGTGCATTTATAATGGCTTCATTTTGCTGGAACATTTGCAGTGTTGCATTTTTCCCATCTGCATGATAAGATATTTGTACACACAGGTTTGTGGTGATTTGGTGTATGTGGAGATTTGTATGAGGTGTGCACAGGTTGGCTTGCATATTTCATCATGTTTTATTTTATACAGTAATACGTCTTTTTACACTATTTGATATCTGAGTTGAGAGCAGAGTATATGGGAGAGTACAAAACGATTCGGAAAAGCTGACTTTGTACATTGCTTCATAATTTAATTTGGTCATGCAGGAAATTCCTGATTAAATTTCCTATAAATAAGTCTCTTTAAGTGCAAAGCTTTGTAAACAGAACTAATTCATTTGTAACTTGAAGCCATTTTTGCACTAATGCCTATTACTTATCATTCAGCAGCATAAACTCAAAACACTTTCTGCAGTTATTTTAATTTGTAAATTGTCATGTAAGCAGAATGTCGGCAAATGCAATTTGTTTAAAGTAGGAAAACTAATTCAATTGTCTGTATCGTTTAACGTTGAGCTCAAATAATTTTGCATTAGCAAGTTAAAATATTGGGTTATTGAGTTAAAATAGTGTTTTGATTATATATATCCGGTTGTCCTGCTAATTTAGACAGCTTCGCTGCTCCGTTCCCCCCCTCATTTTCAAAAGCTGTATCTCTTTTGGATTAAACATTATTAAAGAGCTGAGCATATGCTGTGAAAATACATTTTAATAGAGTTGTGAGGGCGGCTGATTGGAACGGGTTCTCTGAAATGTTTACCTAAGCAGAATGAGTATTATATGACTGTTATGGAATATAAATGATGTCAGGTTGTTCTTCTTCAATGTAGTGTTAGGTACTTCAATGTTTTGTTGGCCATAAGGATCACTCAAAAATGAAAATACTCACATTTTACTCTAAATGTAGTTCTGAGTTTTTTTTTTTTTTGTGATGAACGAAATGTAAATTTGAATACACTACCGGTCAATAGTTTGGGGTGTTTTTTTTTTTTTTATTTGTATTTTTTTAATTAATTTTATTTAATAATTTAAATAAAAATATTCTGTTCAAGGCAGAATTTATTAAATGTAAAAAAAGTAAATTGTTAAATACTTAATTATTAAATATTTATTTATTACTTATTGTTTATATTGTTTTGTTCAAATAAAATTATTACTCCAGTCATTATTGCTTTTATTACAATTTTGATTATTATTTTTAAATATAATAATAATAATATTAATATTAATAATAATAATAATAATAATAATAATAATAACAACAACAACAACAACAACAACAACAACAACAACAACAACAACAACAATATTTATATTTAGATTAGAGGGATTTTTGAAGGGTCTTGTGACTAAAGACTGGAGGAATGAAGCTGAAAATTCATCATTAAAATCACTGGAATAAATTATTAAATTACATGATAAACTACTTTTAAACTACTTTTATTTTATAGTGCAATAACATTTTAAAAATTGTTACAATTTGTACTGTATTTTTTTGATGAAAAATATGCAGCCTTGGTGAGCAGGATAAGCTTATTTAAAAATCCTATTAAGCCCAAACCTTTGACTGGTAGTGTATATTGTAAAGAATGGTGGTAGCCATTGACTTACACATACACAGTAATGTTTTCCCACTATGGGTGTTAGTGGCTACTGGTTTATGTTCAACATAAAAAAGCAATTCAGTCAGGTTTGGAACAAGTGGAGTAAATGACAAAGAAAACCCCTATCCTTTTAAACAAAACCGGTATAAAGAATGCGTTGGTATAATATTTGTTTTGGGATTTGCCTTCTGAAGATCCGCAGTACAGCAGACAGAGAGCTCTTCTCCACCAGCTCTGCTTCTTTGATGGAAATATCTAATTAAACACCAACATTTATGTTTGGTAACCTCCTGTGGCTAGACAGATTTTTTGCCTAATATTTAATCAACGGACGATTTTCATTTATGAGAAGAAATCTACATATTTGTTGTAATGGCAATCATATTAAAAAGAATGCCCGAGGGAGTTTTTAAGTTACTCTTTGATTTTTTTCCCTCCTTTTTCTATTTGAAAATCACTTCATTTATTTCCCTCCTTCTCATCTTCAGTCAGGCCTGGAAAAGAGCATAGAGAGTGCCATCGCTGAAGGGGACTATGGGAAGGCGGAAGAACTGAGTGACAGCCTTGCTACTCGAGAGGTATGTTGCCCAGATAAGCCATCTCGCGGGGCGCTCCGACTGTGACAAATTGAGCTAATGGGTCTGCGGACATTTTGCCTGCAAAGACACAGAGGCTACAAACACACTCGCTCACACACATTTCGTCGGAATTAGGCGGAAAGTCTTGCAACCCTTTTACACTGAAGTTAATGGAAAGCCCTCCCCCAGTTTGAAGTACGGCAGTGTCTATAGAACTTTCGGTTCTGCCTTTTAATGAAGGCTACAATGCTTTCAACCCGAGTGCTAAAACATTTTCAAGGTGCCAGTTTTACACCTTTGAAGTGGGCTCATACCTAAATACAGTGCCTGCAGTTTTAAAAAGACACGTTTTAGGAGTGCACGTAGGATCAAGCGTTTCCAAGCTAATTTGGCAGAAAATATAACATTCGCACAGCTGTAATTGCAGTTAAAAAGACATTCAACTTTTCTGAAGTTGGGGCAATCATAGCGGGCAATATTTTTCAGGCTCGCAACTTTGATTCAATGGAATCTGAAATGCATTCCGCTAAACTCCGGCCTAGGCTTTGATTCCAGCATTACTGCATGGAATTGATGTTCACTGGCGACCTTAAATAGTTTAATACTGAAAAGGTTTGGGTTTTTGCTTCCACTACACTTGCTTGTATATTTGCCGATTTAAAGCATTAAAACAAAATATTTAGCAAACATTGCATGTGTAATTTTTAAAGTTATTTTAGTATCATGTAACTTTAGTGCTTTTGAGTCATTTTTATCTTTGTTTAATGCTTTTTTTATTGGAATTAAGCTTTTATTACATTGATAGTGTGTTTATGTCCCTTTTAATAGCTTTTCACATTTTTATAGTACATTCTTGTCTAAAATTGATTATAGTGATCATCTATATGCATGTAGCTGCTACTTTATCAAGTAAACTTCTGTTTATCACGCAGCAATACGCATTTGTCACAGCTGCAGATTCACAGACGCATCACTGTATTTTGTACAATTCCTTACATCTTTATATCAAAGGTGAAAATTACATTTGTACTTATTTACTTTAAAGGCTCGATTTGGGTAAACTACCATCGCATCTTTCTAATTTGCTAACATTTCACATAAATAACCAATGCACTAGATTTGGTTCCTGTATTTGGTTAACAGTCCCAAGGGTATTGGCAAATGTGCTTTTTCCTTTTATGCTCCCATGGAGCTTGGAATGACCTCCACAATTGGCTTAATCTTGACACATTTCTGACTCTGAGTACATTTAAACATTTTCTATATAATGTCTTAAAGAATACCTGTAATTGTTTTTATGGTCTGATCTTATTTTTACGAATGGTGATTTTGTTATTTTGTTTTCTGTTCTATTTTTTTTTTTTTATGTGTGTGAAACTTTGTGCTGTTATCTTGCAGGTCTCACTAGAAGAAGAGATGGTACTGTCTCAATGTGATCCCCTGGCTAATACATATGTATATGTATATAAGTATGTATATATTAGTGCTGTCAAAATTAGTGCATTAACGCATGCGATTAATTTGAAATAATTAACGTGTTTAAAAAATTAATGCAATTAAGGCAGTTGCAGTTTTTTTTTTCCTGTTGTAGCTGTGGTTTGTTCAAAATGCAAAGAAATATGGATAAGGCCAAGGAAGCACTCTTTTAAGGCAAGTTTAAGTATAAAATAATTAATGTCGCATTCAAGGCTCTCTAGCGTTTCCTCTAGAGTTTCATCTAATTTCGTATGTTTCATTTTTAACTTTCGACTTTTGTTTTAATGGAATTTGATACCCATGGCTAACGGAAAGAAAAATCTCCACATTTCGTGACTCATTGGTCCTTTAAGGTAATCAAAAATCTTTTTTTTTACATGGTAGACTCTTAATAAGAGTATTATCTTAATCATATTAAAAGCAGAGTATTGGTGTCCATGTAAATCAAGTGCCAGATGAAGTCGCAAGCTGTCAAAGTCAGCACATTCCTCTGCCTTTCAGCATGCGCCCTCCAAGGTTTCATTGAGTTTGATGTGTTTCCCGCTTTAACGCTAATTTTGTAAATTGTCTACTTCACATTGTTGTGTCAGAATTCTTGTGAAATACAGCCATACTTCAGGACGCTTAGTTTAAGCAAATTTGATAAACGCGATCATGCGGGTGGAATCTGAAGGGAGTCGCTCCGGCTGCGCTGTCCTGCGGTGTGTGTGTGTGTGTGCGCGCTTTGGTGTGACACAACGCGTACCTGTATGTGCCATTGATGTACCGCTTGATGCTTCTTACGTCCTTGTCGCAGCACCAGTGGCCACAAAATTAGCCACTGAAATGCATATACTGATTCCGTAATCCTGCTTGTGATCCTACCTGTTCTCACTCTCAGCTCACATCATTCAAAACAAAAGGTCCACATTGTCCCTCGATAATGTCAACAGACTGGACTATCTTAGCAACTGTCTGAATGTAAAGGAGGACTAAGAAAAATAGTTTCTAATTAATGTTCTCAACTCACAGCAATACAACTTTTCAATGAGTACAATTGTTTGTATTCAATACTTTATTATTATTATAATTTTCCATTTTCCATATTTGCAATGCCTGTATTTTGGCATTTTTTGCAGTCCACTTAGAATCTACCTTGGAAATCTTTTTTTTATTTTTTATATTGGCATTGATTGTTTTGAAATTCAAATAGCACTAACATGCCTGTGTTTTTATTACTGTGTTTATTTATTTAAATCTGTGTTACAAGTTAAACAAAAAATGTAATAATGAATTATATTTTGAATTAAAAAAGTTTTTGTCTTCTGTTTACATTAATTTTACATTTGAATAGCCAAAATGACAAGTTGCAGTCTTTTTAATGTGAGAAATTGCAATTATATAAAAAAAGTGTGATTAATTAGTAATTTTTTTAAATCGATTGACAGCACTAATATATATTTTATAATATAATATATGTATGTATGTATGTATGTGTGTGTGTGTGTGTGTGTGTGTGTGTGTGTATACTGTATATATATATATATATATATATATATATATATATATATATATATATATATATATATATATATATATATACATGCATACATACATACATACATACATACACACATACATACATACATACATACATACATACATACATACATTTTGGCTGGAATAAAAGCAGGTTTTAATTTTTTAAAACCATGTTAAGGTCAAAATTATTAGCTTCTTTTTTCGATAGTCTACAGAACAAACCATCATTATAGAATAACTTGCCTAATTACCCTATCCTTCGTAGTTAACCTAAAAAAAAGCCTTTAAATATCACTTTAAGCTGTATAGAAGTGTCTTGAAAAATATCTAGTCAAATATTATTTACTTTCATCATGGCAAAGATAAAATAAATCAGTTATTAGAAATGAGTTATTAAATATTATGTTTAGAAATGTGTTAAAAAAATGTTCTCTACTTTAAATAGAAAATTGGGGAAAAATTGACAGGGGGGCTAATAATTTAGTGTTTATGATTGTGTGTATATATATAATTGATTCTGCAAATATTTTTCTTTCTTTCTGCATATGTTGTTGTTGTGTATATTTATAGCAATGAAGTAGCTTCATTATTTGATGATATATAGCATAAAGTGCTAATTAACCTTCTGTCATTAACTTTATATGTAGGCAACTAAATGGTTTGTATGACTCACTCTGTAAACCCCTTTATGTCGTTGTAATTGTCTTTTTACGGTTTATTGCTGTATACCTATTCCTGGCTTTGGTGTTTTGAAATGTGTTTTTCTCTTTCTGTGATAATTAATTTCTATTAAGATTAATTTTATAGTTTTATTGTGGATAAAACGGTCTCAGGTCATGGTTCGATAAAGCTCTCCCATCCATCTAATTGCGAGAAGCAGCATTAATCGTGTTAACCTCAAATATTTTAGTTTACGTAATCAATTACAGCTTCTGTTTCTCTTGGTGTAAATGCGTAAATAACACCATTTACTCCACACTAATGAAATCATATATCGATGCTGTTGATTGTTGATTTGAATCCGTTCAAAGCAGGTTGATAATCATGCTCATAACAAGCGTAGCACCAAGGGAACAAGCATTAAATAGCTCAGTAATGCCAACAACAGGCCCTCGGTTTAGCCAATTTTCTTTGGAGAGTCTTTACGCTGTAATCCATACAGATGCCACTCACGCTTATCTCCGGAGTATCTGTGTGGTTTATCTTATTTCGGTCCCAGGTAGACGAGACGTAATAACAATTTCTTTGGAACCCTTCTCGGAAACATTGTACCATTACATGGGCTTCATTGTGATGCCGATTTGTCTTTGTTGTTTTGTTTGGATGAGAATAGCAGATTTAAGCATTCCTTCACAGACAGTTTATCTAGACTTCAAAAGCAGGTAAAGCAATTCTGAGATGCCATCATGCTGTCTAAATGCTTGCAAATTAAATCTTTAAGGTAAGACTCTACAGGTAAAATCATTGATTTTGAAACAGTTTTTCACTTTTCATAAAGTTTTAGTGTTTCTATTAAAGGAAAAAAAAATACGCTTGTAAATGTTTGCCAATTATTTTTTTTCTCCGGCACTGTGTAAGTGCTCTTGTAGTGAAGGTTTTTGACTTCACAGGTTTATTCATATCTATGTTCTGAAAGAACACTGTAAAAATTACTGTAGTTTCAACGTTAAAAAAAAAAAAAAAAAAAAAAAAAAAAAAAACACGGTAAAAATACTACAGTGTCTCCTGGTTAACAATATTTAGTTTCTTTAATATAAACAGGTAATAACCGTAAATTGACTTTACCAGAATTTGCTGCATAAAACTTCACTTATATGCCTTTTTACTGACTTATCTGTGGTTCTTTTTATTATTTTTTTTCTTATCAGTGATGTACATTAAAGTTTTATGTTAGATCTAATGCTGATAAGTCATGTTTATTGGATTTATTTAATTGTATGTGTGTTAACATGATGTCTTTAGTAGTTGTTTCATTGGCACTGAGCACCTACTGTATACAGTGC